TTGCAACCCAATTTTCATGTATATTACACGATGATGACTGTGGCAGAGAAATAATGTTAAGAGGAACATGAGTACCTCTAACGGGCCAAATGAGTTGGTTAAGTGACTTTCTTCATAACCTAAATGAATATTGATCTGTTTCTTCTGAGTTACTAATTATAAATCACAAAATGGTGGTAAGAGAGTCCAGAGAATTAGTAATAAGACCCCAGGAAAACCAGACATTCACGTCTAAAAAGAGGAGAGGTGAAGCAGGAACTATGTCATGTGGTGTCTGGAAGTTGGACTCCAGAGCCCAACTGGGTTTGGGTCCTGACTCCACCACTTTTAAATGTATGAATTGGGCAAGTTCTTTCTCTGGGCCTCAGTTTCCTCACTGAAAAATGCTATTTTTAATAGTCTTGGTTATTAATGGAACCTATCTCATAGGGCCATTGTGAAAAACAAGGAAATGATGTATGTAAAGCATTTTCCATAGAGCCAGACATAGTAAGCATGCAATAAATAATGGTTATTACAAATATTTTCATCTTTAGGCAAAGATAATGGATAATTCTGGAGATTCAAGTGGAAAGTTTCCAATAACAACCTAAATAATTTTATTTTTATTTTTCTGTGGGCCCAATTTCCTGCTTTAAAGCAGCTTTAATGCTGCATTTGGCTCCTCAAGAGCTGAGGTAAAGAAACATTCTAAGGAATGTGTAGAAAAGTTATTTCTTTTAACTCTTTGATTCTTATTCTCCCTGAGTACATTTAATATTTTTAAATGGTCAGTTAGGTTTTTGTAGTGGATAGTCTACAAAAAGTACCAAACTTAGATACAAAATGTCAACTTGGAATGCACATGTTTCTAATTAGTAAGTCTTACTGTTCCTAAAGAAATAAATCATTCTAAACTTTAGGTGCTAGGTATTTAAAAGTTTCTCCTCTGTAGAAATTAAAAAAAATAGAATAAAAAGAACTGATGGAAAAAAGTTCTTTAGTATTTGCATAAGAATTTTACAGATCCCAAGGTAGGATGGCAGAACACACACACACACACACACACACACACACACACACACACACATGCACACACGCACAAGCACACGCACACACACGTGTTATTTAGTATTCAGGCTAGTTTAGGATTACTCAATTTCAGAAATAACCAGTCATATGAGTCCCCACAGCTGCTCTGTCTCTGCCAATGACATACTTTCTCCAAATGGATGTTGGGATCTCAGGCCCTTTCCCTGCCACTGCCATTCTCACCCCTGGTATATTGTCATCTTGCTGCAGGATCCACTGAAGTGCTCTATTACGTTCCTTTGCTGCTTTCTTGTTAGAGCCTTCTCCTGACATGCCAGGAAAAATGCCCAGTGGTCTAGGCCACCATCCAGCCTCCACCTTTCTTCCCATCAAGATGCAAGAGTTTCAGAGCTAAAGGGGTTGATACTTAAAACCCAGAACTACTCAAGTTCTGGGAACTGAGGACTCAGGCCTAGGGCAACTATTAGCATTATTCTAGTGGTATTTTATTTATTTTTTAGAGCATTTTTAAAAAATGCTTATTTCTATATTTTGAGATAGAAAGGGTGGGGGGAGGAGCAGAGAGAAAGAGGGACAGAAAGAATCCCAAGCAGGCTCTGCATGGAGTCTGATGTGAGGCCCAAACTCACCAACCATGAGATCATGGACTCTTAACCGACTGAATCACCTAGGTGCCCCTCTAGTGATATTTTAAATTAATAGGTTTTTGTGGGTTTGTCTGGCTGGAGGATGCTAATAACAGTGCTTGTTTTGGAAAATGTATTCTCAGTTCTGCAAAATTATCTTCTAAATAAATTTTGCAACCCATTTAAAAGTGAGTGGATTCCCTCAAAAAGTTAAATAGAGAATTAACATATGACCCAGCATTCCAATCTTAGGTATATACCCCAAAGAACTGAAAAACAGGGATTCAAAGAAATGCCTGCACACAATGTTCACAGTAGCCAGAAGATGGAAACAACCCAAATGTCCATCAATGGATGAATGAATAAACAAAATGTGGTTATATGCATACAATGCAATATTATTCAACCACAAAAAGGAATGAAGTAGTGGTACATGTTATAATATGCATGAAGCCTGAAAACATTATGTAAATTCAATGAAGCCAGACAGTAAAGGACGACTACTATTTGATTCCACTTATATGAAATATCTAGAATAAAGCACATTTCTAGAGACAGAATGCAGATTAGAGATTCCAGGGGGATTACAAGAGGAGAAAATGGGAAATTATTGTTGAATGAGCACAGACTTTCTGTTTAGGGTGATGAAAACTTCTGGAAATTGTAGTGATTGTATAACACTGTGAATGTATTAAATGTTACTGAATTGTATGCTTTAAAATGGTCAATTTTGTGATACGTGAGCTTCAAATCAATAAAGAAATATGCTCAGTATCTAGAAGTATATAAAACTTGAAGTAGCAGATAAAGTATGTTTTGTTCTGTAAAGAACATATGGTGGGAAAAGAGGACTGACTTAAGAGCTAGAAAACCCAAAAAGTCCAGTTTAAGCCTTAACTCGGCCATTACTACTCAGGCCTTCTTAAATGAGTCATTTCCCTCTCTGAGCCTCAGTTTCATCATGTAAGGAATATGATACCATCTGCTCTGCTTAATTCTGAGGCTGAGATTCAGAAACGGCATAGCAAACTAATATGTCAGGGAAAAAGTACTAATTGCTATAATAAATGGAAAGTTGGGAGCATTGGAACCCCAAAAATGAAAAGGATGAATATATACTTTCTCTTTCTAACACCTTATCTCTTACTTCAGATGCTAACTAGGCTTTAGGCAAATCTTGAGAAACAATTATTTGGTCTGGAAGAGGTTCAGTATAGTCCAGGGTAATTGCTGGAGCTTACCAAGCTGGGGAACAAAGGCAATTTTAGTCTGAATGTGCAGTAGCCAACCCAGTCTAGATCAGATTCTGTCTTGTGCAGCAAGCAATATAAAGCCCCAAAGGGATGCTAGAATCAATCTGCAGTCCATGACTATCTTTCAGATTATAAATGATCTATAGGTGAAATGGGGCCACTTCAAAGCTTCAGCGGTAATATGTGGGATGGGAAGGAGAATTTCAGTCTGTTTTGGTTAGAACCTTCAATAAATCAGGCTCCAAGTTTGAAAAAAGGGAAGGAAACCAAATTTGTAGCTTTTTTTTCTAGTGGCACAAGGCTTCTTGTATAGTAACATCTAATTTATCCAATACAATGAGGAAAGGTGTTGAAAGAATTTGTTTAAAAAAATTAGTCTCTTCAAAATATTTAAAGGTAATAATTTTAAAATGTATACAGAAATTATACTACCTAGTATTTACATTTTTATATAGTTAACATAACTAATATTTTCAAAATCCTAGAAACCGAAGGGAAAATGCAAATATGAAACAATATATTAGTTTATGGGATACTTGTTGAATTCACACGAATGTACAAGACTGAGCATACATATAAGTTGTTAAGGCAACAATAAATATGTTCTAGGTAATCTAGTATAATGGGAAGGATCCTGTATGATAGGGTTCTGGTGACCTGAATTCCAGTCCAAGGTCGGGCACTTACTGATCTATGTGACTTGAGCTTTCCCTGTAACTCTGTCTCCTCTGTACAATGAGAAGGTTGGGCAATATAGTGTTCAAAAGACAAGGTGTTTTTTTTGTTTGTTTGTTTTGTTTTTTCTGGTTTTAAATTTTAAGCAGTAGAACCTTTTCTTTAAATGAACTCTTCCAAGAAGTCTGCTATTTCGAATAAATAAACTCAGAGCTGCTCTGTTTGAAGTAAGGTAGGAAATCCAGACGCCTGTCTGCTTTCTGCTCTCTTATTGTCCTGACAGCCCCGAGATGCCTCTGAAGAAGCTTTAGGGCTCCACAGAACACAGTTTGAAACCCACTGGGCCAGATAAAGCCAAAGGTCTCTTCCTGTTCTAATATGTTCTGATTTCACTAATGTAGGCATTTTCAAATGTCCCATATAAATGCTTATTTTTGGAGGAGTTTTTTAATTGTAAATATATTTTTGGCAAATAGAGACGAAAAAGTTCAGGAAAGCTTTCCAATTCTAATCTACTACCATCATTTTACTAGTCTACTTTAACACGGCTAATAAAAGTAAAAAATTACTTATATTAAAGGAATGAATGTTCCACTTTATGTTTTGACATTTTTTTCTTAATATAATTTACTTTTAATTTGGTATAAAAATCTGAATTTATTTCTCATTTTTACGCTTCTTGTAGGAGCAGCATTTTAAATAAATACATACATTCCTTTAAAATATTCACATACATTGTTTTTTTTCCCCAGTAGCTCACTCTGCACTTAGATCTATACAATCACTATTGGCAATCAGCATTAAATGGCAATCTACCCTCTGGTTAGGAGCTAACTTGCTGCTCTAACCCATTTTTATAAACCTTCCCATATACTTTAATCCTTTCAAATGCAACTGTGACACAAACTATTACAGACTTTTAAAAACCTGTTCTCTTGGAAAAAAAAAAAAAAAAAAAAAACTGTGGAGCATCAGTAACCAGATAGTATTCTCAAATTTCAGTGATCTAGTCCATGGAGCCGTCCCCTATGCATAGTGCTCTGTTTCATGCAGTACATGGCTTTAGCTGGCCAAATCTTTTTTTTTTCCCAATGAATCAGTAGAACAGTGAAGATCTTACTTTTTTTTTAAGCAGTGGCATATCAATGAGGCACAGATGTGTATTCCAACTCTGCATGGATGAGCACACTGTTCAATAGTGCTGGCTCACACGGTATCAGGGCGAGTTATCACTTCCCATGAAGGCACTCTTATCACCAGGGCCCAGAGAGGTGGCTGCAAATCGCAGCCTTTTTATTTTCAAGGCAGTTCTGCTGAACATTCAGGCTTCAAAGATTCACACTTCCAAAACTCTATAAGAGTTTGTGAACGCTCAATTTGCCAAAACTGTTTACAGTGTAATTGGGCACCGTACCTGTGTCCATGAGATAGCGAAGGCGCTTCTCCACCAGCGCGGCACGGGTGTCAATTTGCTTTTGCTCATTCTCTAGTGCTGCCAATTCTCCTACAACATACTGACTGGTGTCTTTGAACCCTTTCTGTTAACGAGAACAAACAGGAAGGAAAAAAAAAATCACTTGTAAGGTGCATTTTTCCTTTCTACAAACACTTAGTAAAGCACTTACCTAGAGAACCAAATAACACCGTTAGTATCACCCTTAGTATGAAAAAGCAACTCCCTGTGATTCAAGAAATTTTCATAAATGCTATGTATAGCAAAACTTTTGCAAATAGAGAAAATCTCAGCTATTTAGTATTATATTTATAATTTAACACCCGGATTTGCCATATTTAAAAAGTTAATGCAGAGAAAAAAATTCTCCTTAAAGTCAGAGTTATTTAAGCATGGACGACGATAGAAGACAATTTTCCTCTTGGTGACTGTCAAAACAAACACCAATGACACATTTCATTCAAATGTGCAATATGCAAAAATGGAGCCTTACTAAGGAAATGATTCTTAAAGTATCTATCCTGAAAAACACAGACTTATTCTTACAAAAATACAAAATTAAAGAGATACATTTCTTGCTGTCATAGTAAATATACTATTTAAAATGCTACTTAAAAATTATAAAAAAGAAGTTTCTAATATCTCCAGTTTTCCCTCCAGCTGGCTGCTGTACTTTAACATGTCGTTCTGTTGATGTATCACTAATTATTGTAGCTGCGAATTCTAACTTGACAGGTGGTTTCAAACCTTGCTGCAAGGATCTAATGCAACTAGTGCACTGATTTGGTTAATCTCCCATCTAACCAAATTTGGATTTCAATTTGAAATGTTACTTTTTACAATCATCCATGTTTAAAAAATTATCCTTAGAAGTTTTATTTGAAGTAGCAGTTCTATTATAAAGTACCAGTAGAGTCTTAATTTTTATTTTCATATTACTCATTTAAATCATTAGGGGGTAGGGTTATTACTTGTGGTAGAGTTACAAAGAGATTAATTATGGCTCCCTTTGTAATACCTGTTTACCTTGTGACATTTCCAGAGCTAAGTTTCCCAAGTAGCTGAGGAATACTGAAGAAATGCTTCAGTGATTACTTTCACTACCACCATTACTAGCATCAGAATTTATAACATTATGTATTCAGAGAAACAAATATGAACAATCTCTTCTATCAAATCCCTTCCCTACCTAGAAGCATATTAATCTCTAAGAAGTCATGAGGAATTATCTTTGGGTCCTCCTTAAACAAGAAACAAAATCAAGAATTATGTTATTAATGAGCATATTCTGGAATCACCATGATCAATAAACACATCTAACCATACATATGACTTATCTATCTTTGGAACTGGTAAATTCACATGTGAACTCTATATCAGCTTACTGTTAAATTGATTTTGGTGGTTGACAAACTTAAAGATCAAATGTATTTTAGGAAATCATAAAACTGATAATTTTTCAGTATAGTGTGATCAAATAAGTTACTGTATTTTTTAAAGATCCATAAAAATGGATATTCTCCCATCTCAATATGAAATATAACAAAATCATAACAGAATAAATGTAAATGGTAACTTTAAAATCTGGAATAACCTATCTGCCGTATAGCAGAGCATTTCCAAAAAGGACTTTCCTTTTTTCATTCCCATACAAAGGGGCAAAACAAACATAGTCTGTAAAGACAACATGAGTAAGAAAGATAAAAGGAAGCAGAAATGATAAGCAACATATAAACTTCATTGTTTTTACAGACTGGCTTAGTTAAAAACAGTCACAAAGTTTATTACCAGATTTCTTTAGTGTGAGTATACAGTATACTCAAGTATTCTGCAACTTACAATTTATACCAAATATTCCATCTCGATATATGAGTGAGCTGTTCTGTGTACTAAAACCTGTCTTAGTACAACTTACAAATGAGAAGTTTTTAAGGACCCTAATTTGTAGTCTGTAATTCTGAGTGCACTTATAAGGATTTAAAAATCCAGCAAAGACCATTTTAACAGTAAAAACAATGACAATATTTACACAAACTACAGATAATAAAAAAGTAGCACCGCTCTTAGAGAGCTATGCTTCCAGACAAAAATTCAAGTTAAAACTTGTTCTTCCTGCTTCTGTCCCGCAGCTGTCCATCAAAAGCAGCTTTCTCCCTGCGGTCTATCAAATATTTCCCTCACAAATCAATTTTACACATGATCAGCCCATACCCCTACTGAGCTGAACCTCCCCGTTAATTAAGTGAAGAAATTACCATATATATTATATTAATGCAAACATCATTCAGCTAGTAATTCACGGCTGATCTGGATAATGGAAAGGTTGAACACCCATTAACCCAAGCCAACAAAATGGGTTGGCTGAGAAATTCTAGCAGGTCTCATGTGACTTTTCCCTCTAACTGCAGCTCTGCGGTATCTGCTATTGTAATAATTAAAATCCTCCTGGTAGATCAATACTGGAATCTCTTTATGGGAAGTGCCCTGATGGAAATGTCTCAAGGAAGCTGGGGCTGTGGAACTCTGAAAAATTCATTTTTTTTTATCTGACAATTATCACCACACTGCAGACTAATTCAACAGTGCACCCCTCTCACTCTGCTTTGAATGCACTGGAGATTGACATCTTAAAAAACCTAACATCTCATTTTAACAAATAAAGGCACTATTTCCACATACAGTTTGGAATTATCAGCAATCATGAAACCACACAAAAAATTAATATACATTAAGCACTTCATCTTCTGATGGCTTCCTCTGAGTTTCAGTTATCGCTGTCTTCTCCTCATTTCCTTTCTTTGTATCTTCCTGTATTGATCTCTGCCTTTTCATCTCTTAAAAAAAAAGGGGGAAAGACATGTAAAATTATTATAAAGCTTGATATTTGTGTATTGAAATGTGGATTTACACTATCAGCTTTTATATATATATATATATATATATATATATATATACACACATATATAGCTAAATACTATTAAATCATAAGATGGGGAAACATTTTTAAAAGTGTTCCTACCTGGTCTATTCTCAACATATTGACTGAAAGACTGAAGTTGAGTTTTTCTGACTGTAGAATCCTTGCTGAAAACAACAGGATTTCTAAATCGTTCTGTTGCTTTTTGTAATCGTTCAGTCCGGAGATCTTCTGTGCCATTCTAAAAGTAAAACAAACGTAGTTAAGACATCCTGATTGTATAAACATGAAATTACATATTAGCAAAACAACTTTTACTGATTTAAGATAATGCCAAATTAGAAACTTTGTGAAAGAAAAAGGATTTCAAAGAGCTCTAAGTAGTTCAACTACAAGTGCTGTTGCCTGTAACCAAAACTTTGGGAGACATAGTTTAGATGGAGGATCACTCTTGATAACTTTGATTCATTAGATGCTGTAAAGCCCTGTGTCTTCTCCCAATGATATGTATAATTTAAAAGTCATGGTGCTTCTGTCTGGTCCCCCACTATTCTGCCCCATCGGTTTGTACAGTCCCACAGACTTGTATGACAAGAAGAACTAGTTTCTAATTTTATGCCCATTGAGATAAACCACTAATGCTGGATGAAGGCTAAAAGGTAGGATTATAATACTACCCCACTGAACTGCATTTCATCAGCTATAACTTTCCAAAGCCAGATTTGTAAGTAAGCCCTTTACAGCTAAGGAAACTACAATTATCTTTTCCAGAGCTTCCTATGTTAATACTGGTAACAAATTCAAATGGTTCTATCAACAAGAAATATCCCAGAAGACTGAACTACTGCAGTGTGTGGAAGCTGCAGATACCGAGGTGCTGTGTACCAAACAAATATTTCATTTTATACCTAATCTTTTATTATTTTTATTAAGTGTTTTGAAAGTAAATAGGGAAAGGCTAAGATGCATGACTAATAGCTAAGCCTGCTGAATGCTGAAACTGGTTATCAAAAGCTACCAAGACTTTGCCCTTCCTCTGCATTGAGACAATCAGTAATGAGGGAGCCCTCCAATGGCCTATTCTCTAGCCTCAAGGAGGCCTGGGATACAGAATCCTCAGGGGAAGGTAACAGTTTATCCTTTTCCACAAACACAGAATGCCTCATTTATAAACGTGTAAACTGCATTTTATTAAAAAAAATAAAACCCCAAATCAATGCTGAAAGCTTCAAGAGAACAGATGGACTCTATATGTTCTTTATAAGCACTATTTAAAAAATCTTAACTAAAAAGATCCACACAAAGACAAGCTGTTTAAAGCACACCTTTTGTTGAAATAACTTTAAAAAATTACCACATAAGAGATTTTTAGATAGCGAAACAATTTCATCTATTGAGACAATTAAACCTTAAGAATGAAAATACTCCCATTTTATTTTTTCAAGTTACAGAATATCTTTATTATTAGTATCATGTACATACTATGCTAGCTATGTAGCTGGGATAAAAACAATTTTGGCTTTTATTTATTTGTTTAAGAAAAGTGTGTATTCTTATAGCTATTATTATAACTGCCCAATGGTTTAAAACTCAAGTCTTTACCAAAATAAACAAACACGGCTAAATTTTTTGAGGCCTGGCAACATGCTGAAATATCAGTGCGATTAGCCAGCAAATCCCATCTTAAGAAACGTTTTTATGACTAGGGACTTCTGCCACTTTACAAATGTATTCCTCTAAACCCACTAATTCAGTTAGCCTTTTCAATCCATTGTATTATTCTTAGGCCAGCATCATTCTGCATTAAATCCACTGCAGAAAGCTAAATTGAACGCAAGAAATCAGACCTGATCCAGGCTTCCTTTTGTTCAAAGATAGAGACCAAAAGTCCTCTGGTGCTGCCACACACTTTCATCACCAATTTATAGAAACCAACAGTATAAGGGAAAAGCAATGAAAGTCATTGTTTTGGGACTTCAAAGCATCTGTGTGTCAGAGGAAGGAAATCCTTTCAGTCAGCAGGGCAGTCCCCATAGTCCGCAGGTGGGTGAAAAGTTATACAGGACTAGAAGTGCCCTAAAGCTACAGAAATATTAATTATGCCATGAGAGGAAAAGAAGGATGGCTTGTTGAGGATAGTATAAATAGCCTAAATAATAATAATCTTCATGTGGCATTTGGCTAAAATATTACTTATACAAGTTAAGATTCATATTGGCACACAACACTTGCAAGTATCATACCATCTTCAGTTATTAATTAACATTAATTCTAATTCATCTAAACAGGTCAGAGGTTGAGGGTAATAGAAAAAATGCTGGAATTCTCTTAGCAATATTCTTCCTAGCAAATATATATACATATAGAAGTTGAAAACAGTTTCTACACTCATGAACACAACAAATTAAAGTAGTAGTTTCTCTGGAAAGCAGTGATTACCATATTGCTACTTAATTGATTTGCTATTCAATAAAAAATGTCTATCTTAATCTTAATGTGAAGAACTTGTAAGAAATTGATTTTAGGTTTATAAGGTGCCAGTGGAAGCTAGAATGCACACAGAGACAAATTTTTAAACAATTTACCTTAATGTCTTGCTCTGAGCTCTCAGTTATAGCTTTCTGTGAAGCACTGGAAAGTGAATTTGCCACCTGTGGCTGAGCCTCTAGGAGCTTCTTTAGCTTCAAGTCCACCAACTTAGTGTTTTGTTCTGTTAAATACACAAATACTATGAATAACTGAGATGCATTGAGATATGTAGGCTATCAATTTAGGAGACATCACAAAAATATTACTATATTTTTAAAAAAGACATTAGATTTGTGAAGGAACCTATCAGACCTGACAAATGCACAACTCTTCATATATATATAAACTGTAATACATACTATATAACTATAGTATAAATGAGTAGTCTTTAGGTATGTTAACTATACATTTTTTTAATTGAGATACAATAGATATGTAACATTGTATAAGTTTAATGTGTACAATGTGATTTGATACATTTATATAATGCAATATAATTACCACTGTAGCATTAGTTAACTCTTCTATCACATCATATAATTATCATTTCTTTTTTGTAGTGGGAACAACTAAGATATAATCTCTTAGCATATTCTTCATATACATGTATACACACACACACACACACACATATACATGTATATATAATCATATATATTTTTCTCCCCAAATCAGTCCCCTTAAAGAATATAGTCAATATACCTTAAGACCATTCAGTTGCATCATATAGTTAACAGTAGCTACGTTTACCTGAAAACCTAAGCCTGCATTCGATGTATACATTTATATAAGTAACTGCATAGGTTATACATCATAAAACAAACTATCTACAAAGTAGATATGTAAAAGGGGCAATACAATTTACTCTCGTTACATTATTTCATTTTCAATTCTTCTAGTATATTAAATTTATATACATAATACCATATTAAAACAAGTTCTCAACATGACTCAGTCATGTATACATTGTTGGAATCAATGTTTAAGTGTGTACATTTATACCCAGCATTGAAATAGGGCATATGTTTAACAAATACCTTAGAATTAGAGGGCAGAAACACAACAATCATATTTTGGAATATAATAATTATGGATAGAAATTTAAAATAAATAAAACATAGCTACAACTTTTAAAATAAATAATTTCAAATTAATTTTAGCAAGTACACTAATCTTTAATAATAAAATAATTCAGAAACAAATGGAAACAAATAATTATATTTAAACAAATTCACTCAAAGGAACTGTTTAATAAAATGATTGTTAAAAGACATGCCAACCATTTGGTGAATGATATTTTTCATAAAGATTAATAAGTTTTCTAATTATAAGACTCTTAATAAATTCTATTATCATTACTTTCATGCAAATTGGTCAGTTTATATTGCCAGGCTTCTCTTTTAAACAATATCTGATGAACTATGGTCAAATCAAGATAAAGATTAAACAATTTATTATTAAAACATTATGACTTTTATATACATATTAAAAAAAGAATTTTGGGGAAAATAAAGAAAGGCTAAAAATCATAAAACATGCTACGTGCTTCCAGATTCCAATTTGCACTCCTATTTCTTATTGCCATGAACTAAACTATAGTGTGGATTGGAAAGTCTGTCCTATGTACAGGCCAACACTTACTGGCATGCCTGAGAGTTGTAAACAATGTTTTACTTAACTCCAAAACCAAAAAGACTGAGAGGTGTTTTGTTTGACATACATGAAGTAGGAGTTTTTAAAAAGGACAAGAGTCAAGCTGGTTGACCCTAATATATATATTTTTAATGTGAATGGAAGTATTGGAAGTGTCACTTTCATTTTTTTTTAAAATTTGTTTTATTATTTTTTTAAGTAATCTCTGTGTCTAACGTGGGGATCTAACTCATGACCCTGAGATCTAGAGTCACATGCTCTACCAACTAAGCCAGCCAGGTGCCCTTAGCCCTAATATTAACCAACCATTAAAGTAGCCCACCAAGTTGCTGTAACTAAAATGAGAAAATTCCCCCCACCTTACCTAAGAAATGACTAATTTTTCCTATCTTCATACTCTACTGCAAAATCAGAAAATATGTATCATTTACTGTCAATGATTTTATACTTCCATAAACTGAATCTTGAGGCTTTAATTCTATACCTATAAATGCCCTCAGCAGTAGTGTTACTGGTTTCTGATAAAGCCTTCAGTGGTGGTTGTGGTAAGGGGGTGGGTAAGCAACAACAATCTTTTCCAAAAAGAAAAAAGAAAAAAGAAAAAAGAAATCTACAATATTTTAAATAGAAAGAAATAAAAGGTAGTCCTAATTTTGGGTTAAACATTTAAATTTTTTCCTTAAATATCAGCGTCTTCCTGGATTTGCACAATTATAAATATACTGATTTCCATTTAGTAAAAGTGTAGCTTAACACTAGGCCATGAAGGAGTGACTGAGAAAGGGCATGGGTTTTCTTGGGTGCTCCCTAAAGTCAGGAAGTCCTTAGCTGATTATATTTTGGAGAAATAACACCAGGTTTCAAACAGAAGAAGAAATAAAACGGGTTAGCATTGCAGGAACATGCCAGGGTTAGGAAAAAGAATACCTGTTTTCACTCCCTTTAGATTTTTACAGGAAAAGATAAATATTAGGGACCTCACTTCCTCACTTTTAAGTCTAGAGAGATTGCCAAACACTTTTTACTGCTAGAAGAATTCAATTCAACAAGCATTTATGGAACCTCTCAGGTATACAAAGCTTTTGATTACTATCTGACGCTGACTTATAAAGGTAATGCATCTAGCACACTCAACTTTTAAAGCAAGAGTATTTTATATTTTAAACACCAACTCAGTGATTATTGGTATAATATTTACTGACATAAGATATGAGATTAATAGCAGTCTGTATAAGCAGTTTTCAAAGTGTCTTATTGTAATTAGTTATTAAAGAGTGTAAATTAATTTATTAGTACTATGTAAATATTTAAAGTAAGCACAAAATTTGCAAAATAATATTACAAGTAAGACTATCAATTCTAAACCAAGTCAGAAAATCTGATCCATGGTTGAGGTTTACATTTGAAGTATTCCATAGATACTACATCTATACCTTACAACATCACATCAAAATATTTATGCTGAGATGGGAACCAATGTTTGAATGCCTATAAGTTGTCTCATATAACATAAAATATAAAAATGAACTTTAGTAATAAGAGAATGCAAACTATAATTTATTCCAATTGTATTGCTGATTTTAACACTAAATCTAAAACAAAATAACATAAAATTGATGGAAAGTGGACTTAGCTAAATGATTTGTGAGGGCATAGGATGTAATAAAGCTACAGAAAGAATTTATTGTCATTATTGATGAAGTAATAATAAAAATATAATTATAAAGTGTGCCATGCAGCAGGATGCAAAATATTTATAATTTGAAATTACCGGGAGTATCAAGGTCATTTTCTAAGTTAGTAAGTTCATCTCCACCTCCTACAACAAAGCCTTCAGGAATCTCCTCGTTAGTATCTATCTCAATATTATCATTTTCATCTGTAGGAACATGTAGCAATAATGTTAGTATATTATTCTATTTTATATCATTCATCCAAAACACTAAAGTAGAAAACCCAGTATTTTAATGACAGTTATTCAAATATAGTCTGACACAGATCAGCAAGAAATCAGTTTTAAGTCACTTTTCACTACTGGATTAACATTTGTATTTTACATTCATATGTCAAAGATGAATTGTCACATCAAAGAAGTTACAAAGGTTTTGACAATTTGTCACATGCGGTCTCTGAATCACTGAGCTCATCAAGTCCCTATATTTTAAAATGTAATGTGTAAGTAATCTCTAACAACAGACATACAAAAATAAAGTTGGTTTACTAATAAAGTCATCAAATAATATTTCTAGATTTCACCTTTTTAGCAGTTATGAGATATAAATGTATAAAGAAACAAATCCTTCTACATAAACTTGTAGCTATATTTATATCATTTGTATGAAGCCTTGAGTGCTTTTCCACTATTAATGAATATTATCATGAAATCATTATGGATAAATTAAGAGACATGATTGAGACTGGAACAGACCGTACCTTATGCAAAAGAAAGTTCAGAAACAATTAGAACAGTACATCTTGGGAGACTGAAAGCTGAAAAAAGTTAGTATTGAAAATTAAATACACGGAAATGAGGAAGTCACGCTAGTTTTTATACACTTAGTAAAACGTTTTGGGTCACAAGTAGTTGAGGTTTTTTTTTTTTTTTTACATTAAAGTTTTTTTTTTATATACTTTTTTCCTTTCTAAATCCAAGTGATAAAACTGGGTTAAGTAATTTTGAATTTTATGCATTTGAAAAAGCACAGCAATAATTTGATTTGCATGTAAGAGGTTTAGCTTTAAATTCTGTTACTGACAGGCAGTGTACCTTTTGGAGAAATACCTGTCTAGCCCTGAAAGTTAAAGAATATCCCTACTACTCTACCATTAATCTTTTATTGGGCAACTTTTATCAATAATGAGGTATTCCAGCATCATTTCAAGTGAGAAATTCCAAAATTCTATACTTTTGGTTTCATCCTTCAATATTTGTCCTTTTCCCTGTATACCTTTGTGTTTGATTTTGGGCCTTCCCAAGTGAATACTTATTATGATCATTAATATTAATAACAATAGTTTACTTTTATTGAAGACATCCCACATACTATGTATGTCATTTATAAGAACACAACAAAGAAAAAAAAAGATTAATAAATTCCCCTAGGGAAAAACATTGCTAAATGCTTTCAAATTGCCAAGGCATTATACTTGGCTACATTATTTAAGTACAATCAGTTGAGAGATATTTTCTAATCAGTTGTGCTTATTAGCACAACTAATTTCATAAATGTTAGCATCTTCATTATCCTTAAAAATTCTTCTCTAAGTAATTTTGCAGTAAACGCGAATGAACAAGTATTTCCTGAGGACTAAAAAAGTGTTTATAAGACTTTCTTGTATTACTCTGTCAGAGATAGTTCACTATCAGTAGTTTTTAGAGTGTTGCTGCCAACTAGCCTCTACTAATTATTACTGACCATAATTAATCTAGAGTGAAAGCACAAAATTCAACATTCATTCATTTATCTATTCCAGAAACTTCTACTACATATTGTATCTACAATTTACAAAACACTGCTAGATGTTGAGGAGATACCGAGTTTACCTTATTCCACCTTAAAGATACACGTTCAAGTGATTACAAAACCATATACAACAGGTAAGTGTTATGGGATAAAAATAAGTTACAGAGCAAATTCAAAAAATGAAAAGATTTCTCTTTGCCAACAGTACCAGGAATTGTTCTTCAGAAGCATTAACCTTTGAAGCATTTAAAATTAAAAAAAATTTTTTTAACGTTTATTTATTTTTGGGGGAGAGAGAGAGAGAGAGAGACAGACAGAGCCTGAGCGGGGTAGGGGCAGAGAGAGGGAGACACAGAATCTGAAGCAGGCTCCAGGCTGTGAGCTGTCAGCACAGAGCCCAATGTGGAGCTTGAACTCATGAACTGTGAGATCATGACCTGAGCTGAAGTCAGACACTTACAGACTGAACCACCTAGGCACCTCCAAAGCATTTTAAAGGAAAATAATGTGAGGTAAGACTTGAAAGGTAAAACTGCAGAGAGCCTTGAAGGGCAGAATGGGAAGTTTAAATTTTACTTGTTAAGAATGGAGAGATACTGGTGTTCTAGCATGATCAGCACTGAACTCTTTAAGAGTAGTCTATAAAGTAATTTTCTATTGAAGTGTCTTATTGTAATCAGTTGTGAAATATGTATAAAATAATTAATAGTAATATAAGCAATGAAGTTTATGACTTTTATAAATTACAATGGCTTTACTTTTATTCCTAAAATATCACTCTTGCTTACAGTCTGATATGCCTTCCTATGTGAAAGAAAAAGTGGTCTCAGGATTGCCCACAGAAGTGTACAATGTATGTGACATCATCCTTGATGTGAGTGAGATTGCTGACCTAGATGTCAGACTGGAGAACTGAAAGGAAATCAAGGTCAGAGACTGTTATAACCTCCAGGCAAGCAGCACAGAGAGCCCAACCTAGTATACAAGAATTGGAAGTGGGTATAATGCAATTTGAAAACTACTGATGGGATACTGGGTGGTTGGGGAGAAATACTGAGAAGGAGAAGGGTGAAGCAGACATCAAAATTGACCCTCCAGTCTGAGTGACTAAAAGGATGGCATTGCTATGAAAAGAAATGCTAAGTCTGGAAATGTGGTCAGATATGGGTACTTTCAGTTTCCAGGGATATGCAGAAAATTGTATTTCCCTTCATTATCCATGTATACTGGGTTCCAGTGTCATGTTAAATAGGTGCCATTCATTTTATTTCCAGCTAAGTGAACTCTATTTATACTACCACTCATGAACAATGCTGAGTGTTTATATATGTATTGTTAACCTTAGATAAAAGGATTACTATTTGAGAAAGCAAGAGTAAAAAACTGATCTACGCAGCTCAAGTCTTCTTAAGAATGGATTTCTACTTTTAATTCCCTGATTTCAGTTTTAGCCCAATCCCTTGAATTCTTTTCAACAGTTACTGTTACAACACATTTCTTCACACCTGTGGTAATAGTCTAAATGCATTCTAGCAGAAACAAAGTGCATGTGTGTTTGTGAAAGATATTACATATTATGTGTATGACATCTATCTATCTATCTATCCATCCATCCATCCATCCATCCTTCCATCTTTATGGCTAATCACTGAAAACCGAGCGGGTGAGGATGGCAGAAAGTAAATTAGAGACCCAACAGAAGTTGGTTTATAAATATGGCACATATAATGTATGTAGGAAAAGGTAAAAGGAGATTGGATAACACTGAGCAGCACTATAAGCAAAATGGGAATCCCAGTGATATGATTCAGAGCACAGCAATAAGGCTAGTCTTACAACACTTATCATTTATAAATAAATTAAATGGAAAAACAGGGTATCTGGTGATGGTAAAAAAAGAATATCCACACTTTCACAAAAAGAAGCTGAAGTGATCATAAAAACACATTTAGAAAAAACTTCAGAAAATATGTTCAGAAAAAATTTTCTCACTTGTATCATGATTTTTTAATTCTCACTGAAGTCCCCTATAAAATTAATAACTTGTTATTATAGGTAACAATATTTGTTATTCATAATATATATTATATGTAGTTATTTATAATATAACAATTATCAAACAAATATCAATGTTTGATAATAAAATCAAACATAAGACAGAAAACGCAATGCGAACATAATTATTAACAGAAGCTGAATATAAAAATTATTGAAGACCTACAATATTTCATTTTGGTTTAGCAAATTTAGATAAATCTATTTGCCATAACTGAAATGAAGATAAGACAGAATACAAACAGATTCATGGACAAAATTAAAAAAAAAATTTCCTTTATACACTTGAAATGCAAAAACAAAGTAACACTACTTTATATAAATCAAAGAGAGGCAACAACGTCAGTGTAAAAGTTAAATGACACTACCCTAACTCAAACCAAAGTGATAAGCTATAGAATAAACACATATGTACAATGAATAAAATATATATATTTAATATACCATATAACATATAATAAAGATATGACATAATATAATCTTAAAACAGGATGGATACCTTTTTCCAAGTGTCAGTGGACCATTAATAAAAAGTTAACATTTAATTTGTCAAAATAAAAACTTATTAATTCCCAAAGCAGAAATTCAGGCCATACTCTCCAACCACAACACTATACAGCTAAAAATGAAAGTACCAAACTTTGTCCCTAAATACCTGCACCTTGTCAAGTAAAGATCAATATAATAAAATGAACCCACAAGTTTTCTACATAGAACCAGGATTTCTTTTTAAGTGGATATTAATGTTTATTTTTGACAGAGAGACAGAGTGTGAGTGAGGGAGGGGCAGAGAGAGAGGGAGACACAGAATCCGAAGCAGGCTCCAGGCTCTGAGCTGTCAGTACAGAGCCCGATGCGGGGCTCAGACTCACAAGCTGTGAGATCATGACCTGGGCCAAAGTCCGACACTTAACTGACTGAGCCACCCAGGCGTCCCCTAGAACCAGGATTTTAAAATTACAGGTCTACAACTACAGAATGATGCAGAAATTGAAAAAAACATGTAGTGTGCACAATATCACCTGATTCTCTCATATGCCCTAAAATTAAGTCAAAAGGAAGACAAGTAAAAGCTATAGCTCCTTGGACAGATATGATTCTGTTATTTCACAAGAATTAGGCTATTTCTGATTGCAAGAGGATGCAAGTGGGTTGCCTGAATATATGGCTATATACCTGGCTTAAAATGCTTTGTGTATATTTTCTGTGGACACCATGAAGCTGAATACGCCTCACTTCAAACTTATTAAGTTTCCTTTCTTCACTAAGGCAGGTTGAGAAAACCTGCTGCTTGAGAAAAGAAAAAAGCAAGTGTTTCAAGCAAGCATTGAGTCTGAGTAACAATCGTGTTTAACACATTCCCCAGGCTATGCTTCCACATTATTATTTCAACTCTTGACCACTCCCTCCGTTGTTCCTCTGGATCACTGCTTCCAAAATCTTCCCATCCTCATCCTCCATCTAGGCTGGTCCCTACTAATTTCTCTCCCCTTTCACACTATTCCTTATTCAGACCTGATGATTCCCACTAGACAGTGGAAGAGTAGATACTAATTTGTTAATTTTCCCCCTGACTTATCAACCTCATAAGGTCATTTTCCCTTAGGAATTAGACTCTTGTGAATCCAAGTGAATTTCTAATTTGCTATGCAAAGGTCAGCAAACTATAGCATGGGGGCAAAATCTAGCCCACTATAGTTTTGGGGTAAATAACTAGCACATCCATTAATTTACATAATGTTCAAGGCTACTTTCAGGTAACAAGGGCAGAAGTGAATAGTTTAAATAGAGACCATATGGCCTTCAAAGCCTAAAATATCTACTCTAGCTTTTTTTCCCCCCTTTTTAAACATTTTATTTATTTTTGAGAGAGAGAGAGAGAGAGAGAGAGAAAGAGAGAGAGAGACACAGTGTGAGTGGGGGAGGGGCAGAGAAAGACAGAGACAGAATCTGAAGCAGGCTCCAGGTTTTGAGCTATCAGCACAGAGCCTGATGCAAGGCTTGAACTCACAAACTGTGAGATCATGACCTGAGCCGAAGTTGGACGCTTAACCAACTGAGCCACCCAGGCGCCCCTCTACTCTAGCCTTTTTCAGGAAGTTTGCTAAATCCTGGCCTAGCACAGTGACTATCATGGCTCACTAGATTAATGCGTATGTATAATGGTTGAATTTCAGGCAGGAATTTTACCCTCTGCCTTGTCCTAAAGGTCTCTTCCCCTACTCCCAGCCTCAACAGCTTCTGAGCAGACCTAGTCTGCTATGAAGACAGACCGATATCCATCAGGCAATAGCCCTGTTCCACTTGTAGTAGGTCAACCTTAGCTCTGATTAAGAGCCTACCATCTCATATGTGGCTGCCTTCAATATCCAAAATACAGTGTATCCCACAGGTGAAACGGATCCTGATCACTCTGGTTCTTAGGGAACACAGTCTAGCTTCGACAAGTCTTCATAAGGTATCTGGTGAATCCCATCCCATCTTCATTTCACCTGGCTTTCCCTGTTCTAGTCTACACTTCTTTGCTAGAATGAATCTAATCCTGGATTCTGCAGGTCCAATCCTCACTTGTCTTTTATTTACTTTGTTGACTGTTGACTGTTAAATGATGCCAAAATCAGGTCTTCACATTCCCTAGTTACCAAGTAGGGAAGATATGCATTCTTTGGGTTGTCACACTGATGGAAGTCTCTCCATCTAGTCTAGTCCTGGCTTAGCCTCAACTGGAATTGGATGTTAGTGTTAAGACGAATTACACAGATGACCCTTCCTATGACTCTCCACAGATGCAGAAAAGCTTGACTTTGACTATTAGAAGGCAAATACCTGATTTATGGGGGCAAAGAGTTTATCCATAAAAATAAAATAGATGTAAAAGATATAAAAATAGATACAAGAAAGAAAAAATGAATTATCAGTGTGCTTGAGTCTTCTAAACAGTAGATTAAGTGCCACCTTAGACTAGGAGGAGAAAGAAAAAATGAGAAGGGATAAAGTTGGTAGAGCTCATCAAAAGAACAGATCAGGAGGGTACTACATGGACAAGAGAGCATTGAGAGACAGTCAGCACCAGTGCTGGAGAAGACTTGAGAGTGAGCTCCACTCATGGTCTATGATGACGCCTTTGTTGTTCTCCAGTGACATCTGCCTGAACCCTGAGGCTTCATTTTAATATTAACCAAACTATCTACAAATAGTAATAATTAATAATTAAAACTTTTAATTCTTAGCCTTCCCAGAGTTTACAGCTTATTTAAAATAGTGTTATTATTTGCTCACCACTGAGAAAAAAATAAGAGAGACACTGGATACCTCTCTATCCTATTATTACTGTTCTCCTATGGGTTTATAATGCCACAGGAAGGGAGCATTAGTAGTTTTAGAACACTTTATCTGAAGGGTTAAGAATATAAATTTTTTTCTGTATTCCAAGATACAAGGAGGCAAAGATTTTTACAACTTACTTAGAATACCTGGAATTTTTCTGATACCAAAGAAACATCTTGTTATTAATAGTTATAAAAGCAAATTATGATAGTATTATATAAGTGTGTAGCCATGAGTAGTTGCTGATGTTACTATAAAACTGTAGTAAGAGAGGGTAGAAATTGCATTAAAAATTCTGAGTGATGGGAGTTGAAAAGTAAGATGAAGGCTTTAAGAAGATAAAAACATTCTGACAAGACCAGAGGAACAGACACACAGCTGTTTAGGGAAGCAGCTTTCAGATTTATGAGACATAAAGCTATATACTACAGGCATTAGCTGGCATTCTCTACAACACTAAGTTTTTAATATAAGGAATCGACTAGAAATAACAGCAGTAAATTTCAGTTTACTTAGAAGAAACTTATCATCAACCTAGAAATAGCTTACCTCTGCTACAGTTCTCTAAGGTCTTATTCAAGTCCACACTTGCCTACTCTTCAGAGTGATCCTAGCATTCTAAGATTAACTAAGGACAAGTACCTGGCATGTTTTGGTAGATAAATAGGTTATACACCTTTGGAAAAAAAAAAAAAAAAAAGACAAAAACCCACAAGCCTCTTGAATATACTCCTCTTAAACAAAAATGCAAAAAGTTCCAAGTTAAAGATGTCCAAGGTGAGCATTAAGAGGCAAAACCAAAATTGCCTTTAATTATATACGTAATCCTTGTCCCAACATCAAGCTTAGAATAATTTCTGCGGATACTGAAGAAGACCTTCTTAGAATAAGGAAACTAAGAAGAAATGGATATGGGACTTACTCAAAATTCTTCCATGTCAGGCTATAAGGCCAGATCATTGTTAAAGCTACTTTCTAAAGATCTAATTCAAAGCAAAACTCTTTCATGCCAAAGCTCACCACTAACAAGTCTTGTGACCTAGGTGTTGAGGACCTGATTGCATTTTACTCACTCCTAACTATAATTAATGAGGATAGTAATGGGGAATCATAAACCAAAGTCTAGATGAGTTTTTTCCCAAATCATATTTTAAGAAAGTACTTCTAAGAAAGTAAAAATTAAGCCAAAAAGTTGATTTGGAAAACAGGAAGAGTTATCATCTGATTTACTAAGCTTCCTATAGGTTCTTTGCAACATATCAAAAGGTTAGAAACTTTATGTATTTGATGCAACATTTTGAAGTAAGAATAAAAAGTCCCAAAAGGTCCACTGCAGATTTCTAGGTTGTCTGTAGAATATGATACAAGATTCTTTAACTCACCTCCAGATGCCTTTGACCTTTCTTTCAACTTTTCTGCAGCCATTTCACCATAGCTGGGAAGTTCTGACATCTTCACTCCAGATCGAGCTTCTGCTATTAGCTGACGAGCTCTCTCTCTCAGCTGCCGACGTCGCTCTTCATCTTGCTGCTAAGATATATTGAACAGTTGCCAACCCAGTAATTGACAGAAATGCAATTTCATTTTCAATCTGATCATCATGATAGTAACTGGTTTACAGCATGGTGCTTGGCCCACATTATAAATAAGATGCTCTATATCAGTTGGATGTCACACCATTTTAAAAGACATCCTACAATCAGATTTTTAAAAAAATATTTACAAATTATTGTATTAAAATGTCTGCTAAAAATTCAAACTAGCCTTTAAAGAATGCTTGGCAATATTTATTATTGAGAAAATAGAAGGGGCTATTGTTAACAAAATAATCAGGCTTATAGAAAAAAAGAATACCAAAAACAATTTCAATTAATACCTTATTTTTATAAAATAGAATTTAACTTGCTGTTTTCTAATAAAGGTATAGAGCACTAATAGACATCTCTGATAGCAGAAAAGGCTGCTACACTACATGATCAAATATATGAAACAGAATTTTTAGGGGGCTGGAGTAGAAATGGAGACACTATATTAGTTCCACAAGTCATAGTTGTTGGCAGTTTTAAAATCAGAATTGGATAACTGATATACTATCCCCATTCCTAAGTCTCTCTTCTCTTAAATGCTCATTAAGAAGGCAAAATAAGGGGCGCCTGGGTGGCTCCGTCGGTTGGGCGGCCGACTTCGGCTCAGGTCATGATCTCGCGGTCTGTGAGTTCGAGCCCCGCGTCAGGCTCTGTGCTGACAGCTCAGAGCCTGGAGCCTGTTTCAGATTCTGTGTCTCCCTCTCTCTGACCCTCCCCCATTCATGCTCTGTCTCTCTCTGTCTCAAAAATAAATAAACAGTAAAAAAAATTAAAAAAAAAAAGAAAAAAAGGCAAAATAAAATCTAATGTGTTTTTTTTTATTTAAGTAAAAACTAGAGTATTAAACAACTAAAATTTCTGCCTACTAAAAAAGGAGTATTATGAATTATAAAAATTGACATGAATTTATAAATTGCTTTATAAACTGGAAAATATATAAAATAAGGCATCATAACAAAACAAAGCCTGAAATAATGTGGCTTCAACATATCCTTACAGTGCTATCTTCCCTTAACCTCTCCCAACCTCCATAAAAGTTCACATCTATTTATATAGAATTGCTTGTGTAGTGTAGTTTCATGTACCCAGGGATTTGAACATGTCATTTCCTCTTGGAATGGTCTTCTCTCATTTGATTTAACTCCTACCCATTTTTCAAGATTCAGTTTAAATCCACTAAATTTCCCAACTATTCTTCCCTCCTCCCCACTGGTGGAATAAAGTCTCCTTTATCTATGTTACTATAGTAGTGTGTGTGTGTGTGTGTGTGTGTGTGTGTGTGTTATTACTTTTGAAACTATTTGTCAAGTTACATTTTAACTCTGTACAAATGCCTCCTTCTCAACAGAACTGACTTCAGATTCTGTGTTTCCCTCTCTCTGCCCCTCTGCTTGTGTTCTCTCTCAAAAATAGATAAACATTTTTCTAAAAGTTTGGTTTTGTGTATTGTGTTTTTTTATTTGTTTATTTGGTGTCTAGGAGAATGACCAATCACAGGTGTCACTTGAGAAAGATGAATCTAACAATAGTATACAAGATAGGGTGGCACAGACAAACTGGAAAGAGTCTAGGTAGGAGGCTCTTATAATAGTCCAAGGAAGATGTAATGAGATCCAGAAGTAGGATGATGCTAACTGAAATGAGAGAGACATTGTAAGAATATATTAGAGGTAGAACTGGTACCTATATCAATTCTTGGTAACTGATTAGATGTGGAGGGAAGAAAGAAGTTGACTCAGAAGTTTTAAACTTGGGCAACTAGCAAAACTGTGGCACTAAAAATAAAAATAGATAAACTAACGAACAATAGGAAGGGAGGGAGAGGACATTTGGGGTAAGAGATGGTAGTCAGAAGTTAGGTGGGTCACTGGGTTGGAGAGACTGCCTGGACATCTGAGTGAAGATGTTAAGTGGTAGATGGGAAAGTGAAATTCATGTTAAGAAGTGAAGTCAAACTAGGACTATAGAGCTGAAATCACGGGGATAAATCAAAGTGTTTAAAGAGACACTATGAAGAAAAAGGGCAGCTACTGACTGAAACGTGGAAAATATCTGTATTCAGATGAGAAGAGAAAAGGAGATAGATAAAGAGAAGAACTAGAACACTCATGTATCAGGAGATAAAGGGAACAAACAACTGTAGTAAATGTGATAGGTTAGTGAGTCTGAATGTTAAAAAGGGCAACCAAACTCAGTAGGCAATATTATTAGGAACAGAGGAAGATAACAGATTGGTGGAGCTCAAACCTAGGCAATTCTTTCACACATTTTGAGATGGCTAGAAATGAGAGCTGTCAAGATTAATAGGAGTAGATTAATAGGGGTATCAAATGGACCCAGAGACATGCTTGAAGCTCCTAGTGAACAAACTGAAATAATTTCAGTATCAAAAAGCACAATGACTGCTGTGAATTGAATCAATGAAATCACACATTGAATCAATGAAAAGTCATCAATTCAATGTGATATTCAAAAAGTTCTTAGACGGGCGTTCTTGACTCAGTTGGTAGAGCATGTGACTGTCCATCTTGGGGTCATGAATTTGAGTCCCACGTTAGGTGTAGAAAAAAAGATTTGTGAAAAAAAAAAAAGAAATGAGGAAAAGAATAAAGGGAAAAATTTTTTTAAGTTTCTTAGAAGGATGTATTAATTCGAGTCAGCTTTTAAAATAACTCTTCTGGGGGCGCCTGGGTGGCGCAGTCGGTTGAGCGTCCGACTTCAGCCAGGTCACGATCTCGCGGTCCGTGAGTTCGAGCCCCGCGTCGGGCTCTGGGCTGATGGCTCAGAGCCTGGAGCCTGTTTCTGATTCTGTGTCTCCCTCTCTCTCTGCCCCTCCCCCGTTCATGATCTGTCTCTCTCTGTTCCAAAAAAATAAATAAACGTTAAAAAAAAAAATTAAAAAAAAAAATAATAACTCTTCTGAAAATTGGCAATTAGAGGAAAAGAATCCAGCAATTATCTTGTCCTGCCAGTAAAAACTCACTTTTAGGGTAACTAAATAGTCCTAGCCAATGAAAAAATCTATTTTATAAAATAATACCACCTATAATTTTTAAAAGGTAAGATTACAAAAACATAACTTTACCATTCATAAAAGAATGACTCCGGCATGGATTATCAACAGCTATTTAAGCTCTTTGATATATGTCTGATGGGAAACTAGATAGTCATATTATGTTGTGGCAGACTATATTTTCCAAAGATAGCCATTAGAGTGTTTTTCATTCCACATGTTCTCTGCAATGTGACTTTACTCCCTCATTAAGAGGTAAAATTTAGTTCCTCCCCCCTTGAATCTGGGCCAGCTTTAGTGACTTGTATTATAATCAGTAGAACATGTCAGTGTTGTGGGTGATTTCCAAGGCTTGGTAGGAAAGGCCATATCCTTTTTGCCCAGTTCTCTTGAAATTCCTGCATTTTTTACTTTCTGGGAACCCAGCTGTCATGCCAGCGAAGTTAAGCCTTGAGTCTCCTTGGCCCATGTACCAGACATGTGAATGAAGAAGCCTTCAGAAGATGTCAGCCTTTAGCCATTTTGAGTCAACCCCAAGGGTCAAGTTTTCCTAGTGGAGGCCCCAGACAATATGCAACAGAGACAAAGCATCCCCAGTGTGTCCCGTCTGAAGTCCTGACCCACAGAATCTGTGAGCATAAAAATAATTTTTTTTAATACCACTAAGTTTGGGGTAGCTTTTACACAGCAATAGTAATTGGAACATATGCTTAAGAAACACCACACAGATTATTTCCTAGTGGCAAGGAAAAAGCCTACTCGTAAATGGAGAGATCAGAACGAAATCAGGGATTAGGGGCCACGAATCTATTGGTCAGTCTTGGCATCATTAATGATGGGTCAACCAAATGTTATATGTTTTTTGATGTGAAGCACGTGAAACGCACATCACCAATAATATTCTAGCGCAAATGTTTAAAATGAATCCACTAAGCCTTTCAATATAACTTCCAATTTATCATATACACAGGGGATAGAAAAACATGATAAATGACACAGCAAGGAAGCAACCAAGTAAATCTAGAAAGTATGACACTGAGGATAAATGACCTGGTCATTTTAATAAGAAAGTTACAAAAATAAGCACACAACAAAAACCAACTAACCAATCACCATCACCACCAAAAGAAACCTAACTGTATAGTCCTATTTGTATAGATACAACATATAATCCCAGCTTAGCTAGTAGTTTGGACAAACCAGCTGTAAGGGCCATTGCTGAATCAATTACAAAAATTTGAACATAACCATCGTATTAAATGAGAGGAAATGCAATTTGACTGAAAAAAAATAATTTATGTAGTAATAACCTCATTTTATCATTTTGGCAAAATAAATACACATACATATGTACAGAAAAAGACTTCAAAGGGTATTCACAAAGTTGGTATGATGGAGATATCTAGGTGTGGAAATGTGATATTTTTGTTTTCTTACTTTCATTTGTCTGCATTTACTAATTTCCAGTAATATACATGTACTACTCTTATAATAAAAGTTATTTTAAAAAATAATCTGGGGAGAAGGAAGGAAAAGATGAGATAGCAGGTTTCCTAGGGTGGGTGGTAGTTGTGGTGGGAGCAAAAGAAGAGAGATTTAACATTCAAGGGAAATTGTCCTAGTATTTAGAGACACAAGCTTATTTGTAGTTAGAGGAGTAGAATGCACCGGGCAGGGTGAGACTGAAGACGGGAAAAGAAAATAATATGCATAAATCCTCAATTCACTACCAATATTTCAGAACGTGGAAAATATCAAGCTCAATAATGATGATTCTGCGAATGGCTGCTGAATATTTCTTAGCTTTTATGTGCTAAGTGCTGTATATGCATGATCTCATTTAATTTTCACACCCTGATTTTTACCAATGAGTATATTTAGGTTTAGAATTCTAAATTCACGCCAACTAGACCTGATGTCAGAACTGGGAG